CTCTCATTAACATTTTACTAATCTGAGTAGCATTAGGTCCAGCCTACACTTTATGGGAAGAATAAGTGGGTGTCCAGATAGGGGAGGGGGGAAGGGTTTCTCTAATCTATTGGATCAACTCGATCCTATTTAGGAAATTTTTGCTCACATGAGAGCAGATGGCAAACAATCCTTCACTAATTATGGCTCAATTATGTCTCCCTCGCTCTATAAAGGCGCTTCCCATTTCACCATCAGTATCACCCTTCTCCCCCCCACACACACAACCCACTTTCTTCTTTCGGTTTTCTTTGAAAACCAAAATGGCAAGGAAATGACACAGTTTTTTTTAAAGGGTCTTCTCAAGCTACCTTTTCTTTCAGCTTGCTAAGTATAAACCTATATGAGAAGAGAAAGCCTGAAACTCTAACGTATGTATTTGTTTAGAAGATGCATGCACATGTACATGGAAGAGAAAAAACCACCTTAAAAACTCATCATCTCCAGCCACAATTAACACCCCACCAGCAGGTCAGCATGCGCAGTAACTCAAGCCAGCCAAGTTGTTTTCGCTCTGGAGGCAGAAAATCCTGAAAGCATCTCCTTCCCATCCTTGGCAGTAAATAAAATAAAATAAAATAAACATGCAACCATGACTGAATGAATGACTCATCTGCTGCCTGAGAGGGACACCTCACCCTGCTTAACTGCAGGGCCAGCCCCAATACCTTGTGTTGTACTACGGGTCCATTTAGTGATCAAGAATAACATCTTGTATTAGACCTCTTCCACGAGATTTTCTAATGCCTTACTAATGTCCTCAAGTATCAGAACTGGTCACAAGGAGGAACCATAGAGTATTTTCTTGTATTCCCACCCCCCAGCTTCCCTGGCCTGTTAGTAATAATACTGTAACATATTGATAATGAGTTACATGACCAATTACTGAAGCTATTGGTTTGATAATAGCAAAATGTCAACTGTAACCTTCCAATCTCTGTGATATTTCTCACCCAGGTCCAAAACAAATACATATTATAGCAGAAGTCTGGACGAATGCCTCTCCATAGATCAGGGATGGGGAAAGGGTGACCTTTCAGATGTTGGTAGATCAGAACTCCTGTTGGAAGGCTTAGCAGGATTAGCCTGGGGGTGGGGGCCGGGAGGCTGTGAATCACAGTCAGCGAACATATGGACAGCCGCCTGTCTCTCATATCTGCCTTAGATGAATAATTATCCCATGTTACCTTCTTGGTGACCTAAGCCACTGCAGCAGCATCTGCAGCATCATGTCCTGTGCACTTGTGATGGCTGTAGGTCCGTTATGTGCAGCACACAAAGAAACACATATGAGCATTAGACGGCCAGGCTGAGAAGGGTTGTGTGTGTATGAGTGAGCGGTGACACCTGGATCAAGAAGGCTGAACAAACCACTGCAAACCCTGCAGCCGCTCACATTCTGGAGTAAAAACATTGGTCTCTTGGGCGTTATCCGAGACAAATGAGTTAATATTTACATTCTTGGTTACTGAATGTGGCTAATTATTGACGTGATCAATGATTCTCTAAGAGGAGTTCACATTATGGAACTCTTCAGCTACCTGGATGGTGACGCCTGTTTTCTGTTAAGGGATCTGAAACACCGTCTTGGCTTTATCAAAGGGATCCTGCAGGTCTATGCCGTGGAACTGAAATGTTAGCAAGTTTTAAAAAAGATGTTGAGTTTTGTTGACATGTGATTTCCCCCACTTGTGACAAATGCCAGACGGTCAGCCTGCGACCTTTGCCGTGTTGGGGGGGATTAGACGACAGGAAGTCACGGAGAGGTTGCTGTACCAGATGTCTGTCTCGCCCGCTTGTACTCCACTAGCGAAAGCAAGGCTGGTAACCTTCAGCTGTACAAACCTGCACAAAATGTAGCCCTCGCCCCCCCTAAGGCAACAAAGGGTTCTTTGTTATGTTGCATCCCAGCTGAAAGAGAGAGATGCTGTAGCTCTGCAGGAGAGGCCAGCCAATATTCCTTTTCACCAAAACTCTACTGATTTTTTTAAAAAAAACTGAGAAAGAACTGGGGCTGGTTTTGTTTTTAACTGCTGTTGTGCTTTTCAGAACACTTCGGGTTGGAAAACATCTTCAACCGCGATTGCTCATACTATAACATTCAGGCCTCCCGTGCAGTTTTTCTTAGATGGAAAAAATAAAGAATCGTAGTTTAAGCTTCGCTCAAGCCATTGCGTCAACCATGTACACATAAACAGATCTCCAAAGGCTTTATCTGTACTCCGCTTTGTTTCCCCAAGTCAGCTACCTTAGCCTGGAGGAGAAAAAAAACAACCTATTCTGCACTTATTGCACTGAACATACTCCTGTCCGGCAAAGCAGAAACACATCGTCCCATACCATCGTTGTCCTTCTCTCCAACTTTTCTTTTTTTTTGAGGATACACTGGCTTTGTTTACTTGCCAACTAGAGATATAAAATGCAACTTTATTCATTGAGATGTTTATTTAAAAAGCAAATGAAAACAAAGCAAAACCAAATGCAGCCGTTTGCTGCCACCCGCGCCATCAGAAATGAAGTCTGCATTCAGACCCATAGCTATCTGGTTCATTAAGGTGGCCAGACTCTCCATAATTCAAGACCCCCTCTCCAATGATTCCCACATTAACAAGCAACCGAACGAAAGTGATTCATTGCCTTGCAGAAATGCAGCTGCTTCTTCCTTGCCTCTTGCTCCTAAGCACTTTGTCATTAGCTCTCTATTACTGCCCACGGTTGAGAGAGACAATGGATCTCGTTCCATCAAATTACTCATAGGAGTAGCTCCCCTAGGATCAGTCTGGGAACTGTTTTGCTTCTGTTTTGGCCCTCACAGGCCCTCTGAGTTATCTATCAGAATATGAGAGATGTTTCACTGTCATCTTGCTGAGATAGTTCCTGAGCCTTGATCACAACTTTTAACCCTCCCATTCCCCCTCCTTCAATTGGCAGCAAATAATAGCTTCTGGGTGCCAGTATTGCCCCTAGTTTATCCATACTACCCAATTGCAGACAGCCTTTTTAAAGAAACATACAACTTCAGGAAACACACACACACATTAGGACCACCTTTTGCCCCCTGACAATGATGGTCACATGGGTGGAAGAGCAGCCGGAGTTAATTTACCCAGTGGCGCAGACCTCCCTCTTCTGGCCCTGAACAGCTCCCAGCAGCCGCCTCTGGAAACAGGACAGATAGCATTTCCAGTGATGGGATTAAGAAAAGTCATCTGCTCTGTACTGTAGCCATCCTTTTTGGCTGCAAGTCCTGGCATGAATGACAATAAGTGTCAGATAAAGAGCAGACTCCATCCCGGACTTAGAAAGCATTCCGCGTCAGTGGGGGAACCAGACCAGCTTCTTTGTTGAGAAATGTCTTTGGCGAAAGGAGAGAACCTCAGTGGGGGAACAACAACATGCCGTATCTTGCAAGGAACAGAAGAGCTTCATGATGATCAGAGATCCAGATAACTACTGGATTCTTTTCACCTCCCCTTTCTCAGCAGTGTTGCACATTTTAAGTAAATGCCAGTAAGTCTCCTTCTTTAATTCTGCAGTATCGATTATTTCACAAAGGCCGGGCAGCACCACTCGGTGAAGCAGACACATCTTTCCCGTTTGGTTTGCTAATCAGTTTAGTAGTCACTAAACAGTCAGTATTGCATCCAAAGGGCTTAACGCATGCACAGCTCAGAAGCTGCCTCTCTGTATTACAACTCCCAGTATCCCCTAGCCAATCATGGTCACTGGTCATGCTGCTTGGAAATTCTGAGGACTGTAATCCAAACAGACAAACACCTCTTTGCAGAAATGCTCGCCGAGAAAAATGTAGTTACTGAAGAGTGGTTTTGCACCCACACCTCCTGCCTACAAACACCACAGTACACAATTCATGCCATTAAAGAACACCACAAATGACTGGAGAAACATTTTTATTGCAAACACAACTAGTAGAAAGTAGAAAAGAATGTGATTGTCCCTCAGCTCTAAAAGAAGTCAGATGTGTACTCGGGAGATGTTCCTGTTATTTAGATCTCAGAAGACCTTGCGGGCTTCATTATCTTATGCCTCTGTTCCCAAAATAACGTCCCTGCTAGTTCATTCTAAGAAACAATGTACACTAGAGGAAGCCAATGGGTGGCCAGTGTCAAATGTGCCTCGTATTACAAACTACCAAGGCATATGAAATCCATCCCACCCCTCCACTTTCATTTCGAATGAACACATATGTTCTGTATATTCTTCTATTGTGATATCGTTCTAGTTCTGGAAAAGGGGAACCGCCATTTCAAAATTAGCCCCTGAAGAGATCTTTCACAAAGATTTCTTTTGGCCCTGAGATTTTAGCAAGGTCACGTAGTAGAGTCATCACTCCATGAAATGTATTTCTGCCCTCCCTTGCTCAAGACACAGGATGCAAAATCAGCGCAACCTGTTAAACTATGCTGGTGAGGAGGCCAGTTGTCATTTAAAGTGGTTCCATGCAAAATCTCATGCCAATCAGGCAGCGCTTGCCTTGGCCTTTATAACAGGAGCCATTGCGTATCGCCCTCAGCATCTCTGGAGCTTGCTCGCAGAGCAGGAGGGGTTGGACGCATGGCAGAGTGGCATGGATGTCCGAGGCATAGGACAGGCACTGGTGAAGAAGAGTAATGACTCCATCTTCATCATTAGTGAGGGATGTCGACTGCTGTAGCTCCTTAATCAATCAGTCAATCAATCAGTCAGAATGATCATCAGGTCATTAAAAAAAATGACAGGCAGGAGAAGAATGCCTCCTCTATGGAAAAGCCATCATCTGGATTCATAACGATGAGAGAGCAGGCAGCTTGTATGCCAAAAACCCACACTCGGTTCTTGGTGCCTCCGCTGGAAAAGATCAGTTTGAAGAGAATGGGAATGACCCGCCTCTGTCTTGGATCCCCAAGAGCTGCTGCTGGTCCAAACACAAGATACTGGGCGATCTAGACAGATACTTCTTCCAGTGATCTCACAAAGACAACAGTGGAAAGAAAATGTCTGAAGTTCACGTGACTATTACCCCAGTTAAAATGAACGTGACCAGGCCCCACCCCCACCCCCACCCCGTCTTCCTAGGCCATGTTAATGCACCACAGATTTGGAGACAAATTTGCCAGTGTGGGACGGATGGCTGGATGTTAAGAGTCAGAAGACATATAAGTTAGGAGGCTTGTTGTGTTGATTTTATATTATTCAGCAAAATCAATCAGCCAAATGTTAGCTCCTGATTTCATTTATCTTCTAACAATTCAAGCCAATTGTCTCTCCCTTCCTGTAGAAACCTTCTTTTAGCTGATGGCATAAGCACGAAACTTGAACTGTAGAATTAAAAAGAAGAGATTCCACAGAGAAGGTGCCTTTCCCTGCCTTATCCAACCGATTAGAAAACTTCAAAGATATTAAGGCTACCAGTGATAATGGCTGTATATTTCATGCAGTATCATGTCTGGATTACGGGGTTCCCAGCAGCACATAGTTAGCTGCTGAGGTCCCAAGATACTGGAAGAGGAAGCCTTGGTTCTGATTCATGCCGGCACTTCTTAGGCTCAAACCCTGTGACAAGAATTCCACAACCTGCTGTGAACTTTACAGGCGTTGCATGCAAAAGGTGAAGAAATAGATCTACAGTGGATTGGCCCTCTAGTTCTCTTCAGAAACACTTAGGAAATGCAGCTGTCATCATGTTCAGCTCTCACCTTTCCGGAGAACTCATCTCTACCTCATCACAGATTGGACAGGCTCACCCTGCTGAGGAAGTGCAAAACACCTTTCCTTCTCCGGCTAGAAGTGCACAAGAGAACGTAATGCAGAGTCGCTGAACTCAAGAGACAACGTTTTCTTCGCTGGCGATGGAGAAATTGTGATGATCTCATCCGAGTCATCCGAGAGAATCTCCTCTGTGGGCGGCGGCAGAGACAAGGGCTGCAGCTCAGCCTGGGCGGACGCGGCTAGGAGGAGAACAAAGAAAAACAGAGGTCAGAAGAAAATGGACAGAGACACAAATGCTTCTCAGAAGAATTACGTGCTTTAGGCCACAAGGTTTCCAGAATAGCCCCCCGCCCCCAGTGATCTGTATTTCGGATTGCTGGCTTTGCTCTTAGGCCAACTGGGCACCCCTCTTGTTCTGTGCGCATGAGAGGTGCGCCTTAATCCTGCTCCCGCGAGTCCTGCTAGATTGGTTTTAATACACTTCGGCTTCTCTGGTCGTGATCCCTGCCAGAAGACGTGTCGGTCACCGAAGCAGTCCGTCACCATGCAAAGCCACATGGATGGCCACACCTCGGAATCGAAAGGGGAAACAATGAAAGCACTCAACCCTGTCGCCCAGCCTAAGTGGAAGACTCGTACGGCATCCTTCACAACGAAGCCCAGAATTGGGAAAACTCACCACTGTGAGTCCCAGTGAGACCACCAGAACCAAAGGGAGACTGGTTTCGTTTCAGAGCATACAAGGGGGCTCTTGACTCCTTCCTTCCTTTCTGACATAGTCAGCGTGCCCTGCCTTTTTCTCCTCTTGCATATTTGTCCTTTTATTTGGGTGTTATATGGGGGAGGGATGACCCTCCATTGGTAGGTGAAGGAAGTGGCCGTGTCTCTCTCTTCTCTTTTCTTTAATTCGCACAGACTGATTGGTCCAGAGAGAAAAAGACTAAAATATCATCGACTGTTAATGAGTTGGACAGCCTGGTCCAAATTTTCTGGGTTTTGAATCTGCTGACCCACGAGGATCCCAAACTCTACAATGGGATCTGAGAAGGGCAGTTAGGGATCCTTTGCAAGGTTGCAAAACACACTGTGAGGCCGCTTTTAGGTTATATACGGCTTTGGAGCAAAATGCTGCCTACCTGGAAAACTCCGTAATGTTCAAATTCATCACAAAATGCACAACACATCAAGAATGTAGATCAGTTTTTTCAAGAATCCTGGACAACATTTTGCTGCCTCATGCAGGTGGAAGAATGACCTGGCCAGCCTTTGCTTGTGTCCCCTTTCAAGCGTATAAATTAACTTTTTAAAAAATATATGATGCAACTGTGATGACTTCAGTGTCACACCTGCATCTGTTGCTAATGAATCACTTGGGAGAAAAAAAAAGGCATGTTCCTGCATGGAGAAAAGAGACCAATTTTGAATGGGATGATTTATGAACTAATTGAGCTAAAGAGAGCAGCAAACAAAGGGTGGTCCCCAGGGTTGAGTGAATAATTAAGAGGTCTTGTTCTCAAAACAAATTGCTTAGATCTGCAAAGGTTATGCCCTGTCTCTGCCCATAGCGACTGCCTATTATTAGCCTGATCACTTTGCTTTATTCTTTCTTATCTTGCAAACCTCTACCCGACTTTCCATCCTCTGAAACTTTGTTTCCAACTTTTTTCGTGACAAGAAACTTCCTGATTATGCTTTGATGAAAACCAGCACAACAGAATTCACCCCCCCTGAGATATAGTTATATCATGTTTCAACTATAGGTTATCATAATCCTGATTTTTACAATAGAACTTTATTATTCACTTAGCATGATTTGATTATATATATATAAAAAAACCTGAAGTTACATCAGGAAACAGTTGGGAAGGGGCAGCCGTCTTAGATCTGAACGGGCTGAAAGCAACCTCATATGTGAAGTGGGACCTGAATCCACATTTCCTCTCCCCAAGCTCAGTCCTCATGATTCGACCATGAGCAGTTTTTGCAGCCAGAGGATCTGCCTTTTAAAGATCTACTACTCGAGGCCGCTGGAGTAACTAACTTAAAAGCCTCATGCCTGAAAAAGAGCTAAAAACAGAAGGTGACAAATAAGATCAGCTCTGATTCAAAGAGATGCTCCTGTATACAACTGGAGGTTTAACTATGTTAAATGTCCTCAGGCTACCCTAACAACTATAATTGGCTGAAAGGAGACTCCTCTTCTCTCTCCCTTCTCCTTGGCCAAGGTTTGCTCCCACCATCACCCGGCCCAGTAGACAGTCAAGTTGAGATGCTCCATGCCCCCCCACCCAATATCACTAAAAGCAATAGCTATTGCACAGCCCATAACATGCCCTTAGTGAAAAAACACACAAAATGTATTATTCAGCTGTATTGCGACAAAATCCAGAGAAGCAGCCATGGTCAATTTTTTCCCCATTTCAATCACTATATGATTTCATTGTACCTCTGCGTGTGGATTAAGGAGCGCATGAGCAAACAGCATTCCATTTTATCCAGGATTTATTTTTCATCCAAGGCAGGTTATTGGGATTATAGACACACAAGTATTTACTATGTCAATAGCCACTTCAAATTTTGTGAAACTGTTTGCACCCATTGACATCTTCCCATGAATGAGGACAAAGAAAGCCAGGGGAATATTACAACATTCTGCTTTTAAAACTGCATCATTTGGAGGAAGTGAAGGGAAGCCAAATATAATTTAATCACCATGAAATTACACATTGGGTGGATCTTACCATTTCTTACCAGCAAATATCAGATATATATATATGACATTTACCACCTGCATGGTAAAGATTACTAGTGGATGCTGACATTCGTAGTGTGTTTAAACTTATTCATACACACAGACGTTTCCTCAAACTACATGCTAATGTGCTCCCTCACTCCTTTGCGGTTTCATCAAACTGTAGTGTGGCATAACATGATCAACAATGGCTGGACTGTTGGTGATTGCATAAGCTTTGCAGAACTTGTTGCAGATCATTGCTACTAATCAACAAGCTGTCTGGGTATGCCTCTGTTATGCAGCTGGGCAGGTGGACCAGGCGTAGGACCAAAAAGTGCCATGAACCTCACCGATTAGCCACAGCAAGCTACGCAGACAAAGATAGAACTCTGGCCTATTGTTTGATAAAACTACAAAGTAACACAGAAAACCAAAGGACAGCGCTCAGTCCTAATTGCCGAAATAAACCCAGGGTTTTTCCTGGGTTTAGAACAACAGGCAAGCTGACATGAAGTGGGAAAGGAACGTCACCATAAATGAGTGTTATTGGAAAAAAGACATCCATTCATATATTTTCAATTCAACCAGTTCAGATAATAAAGAGCAACAACCCAATAGACGATTCATCTTTTCCTCCCTCCTCTCTCTCCATGGCTTGACTCTTTGCTTTGAATTGCATTCTGGCCCACTGGATTCTTCTAGAACAGTTAAGCGTTTAAATAATGATAGTTATTAACCTTCACAACAACCCTGTGAAGTAAACAGTAATTGATACCTACTCTGTGGCCTGTGTGCAAAAAATCAATGTGATGGAGTGGCTGTCAACAAATAACAATTGGAAAATCAATGAAGCAGCTGCTGCACTGGAAGATTGAAGGCTGAGCGCTGATTTAGCCATAGATTTGCTCTGATCCCCTTTGAGACAGAATCTGTCCTGCACTCTCAATCTGAGGTCCATAAGAAGATTGGGGAGGGAACACAAATAAAATGCAGAAAAGTTATAATTTGAAGGGAAAAAAAGGTAAACTGGTCCACCGGAAGTAATAACACAGGTGGATACCCCACAAACTTGGACGTTCTGACCAAAATTTGGCAGGTGGACATCCTGGCCTATACCCTGTTTATCTTTTCCTGATTTTGGCTCAACAGCACAGTGTCTGTTCATTTTTGGGATGTGCAGAAAATAAACACGATTGTTTTTTTTTAATTTAGGCCTGTGAATGCTTCAAAAGATGACTGCCAGCACCTGCCTGAGCTCTCTGAACAAGGGTGGACGCTTAAGTAGAAACAAACAAATACAAAACGATAATGGGCGAATCTGTGACGAGTCCATACAGTGGAGGTAAAAATAGGCTTACTGGGTCCTGAAGTGAAGACCAAAGGGGAATATTTGAAGGTGGACCAGACTCCCTTTTCCTCTCCCCTGGACGTAGCTGGGCTTGTTCTCTCGTTCCCGGGTCTAGAGGTCAGAGACCTGCAAAATAAATGGAGAATTGACACGAGTCCTAAAACAGTCCCTCAGCAGGAACTGAAGTTGAGAGTCAGAGAAATTCAGCCATGAGAGAGAGAGAGAGAGAGAGAGGCATGAATTCTCAGATCTGAGGCTTTAAATCAAGACAGGGGAGGGCGGGTTACATCCATCATTTTGTTTAATTTCCACCTGGGGAAGCATCTAATGGGATTTAAAGGCACTGTCAACAATGGAGCAATATGCAAGGGAAAGGGCATGGATTTTCTGCCCCACAGGAACACTGGAAGTCTGAGAAACTGAAGTCATGGCACACCTTGATAGGGCAGAGATTTCAGACTTGGAAAAGATCATCCAGGAAAAAAGGCACAGTTCTGCCATGGTTTAAAAGGTGTGTACATTGCAGGCAAGCCCTTGGCTAGCAAACATGGGAAGAAGTCACCAGAATGGAACACAAGCCTTGTGAAATCAGAATGGGCCACCTTCTTGGGACACAAGTATGACACAACCTACGTCTCAGGACACTGGGTCCCCCCGCTCCACCAAACACCACTGGAGGCTGCAGCACATTGTAAAGTCTGCTGCCCACTGCCTAGCTGTGGATTGCCTGGGGTCGAACCTGGCATGAGAATATGATGAGAAGGCTACAGCTCCTTCCAGAACAATTCTGTTCAAAGTTTCGTACACCATTTGAGTAATCTGTGAGCAGGAAAGGATAAGCAAGAAGACAGATGCTGAAATAGTATGGAACTCCTTGTCTCTACAGATAGGGTTGGTTCTCTTAATCTAATTGCCTTCAGGTTACAATGTGGTTCTTGATCGAGTCAAGAGGTCTCTAGCTCCCCCTCCAGTTTGATACTCAAGGTCGAACTTTACAACACTCTGCTTTTGAAACAGTGAAACCTGAGTCTTAGGAAAACAAATGATTCTCAGCTTACCTTTCCTCCATGTGGGTACGCGTTAGGTGAGCCCGGAAAACAGACTGGATCAGCCTTACAGCCTCCTCTTCCGCTCGGCTCTCAGCAGCTCTTTGTGAAAGGTGGGGCCCACAAGATAAATCAGGATCCTGGGACAGTAATCAACACAACTAGACGGTCAGTCTCCCTTTGGCTACCAAATGGATTCTGGTGTTCTTTATCCATCAACCAAGACTTCTTTATCTATCAGCAGCAAGAAACAACTGCTTCCTTTTGAACACATGGCCCTTTCAGGATGTTACTCGTTCCAGTGACTGTCAAGGCAAAGATGACTGGGCTTTGTAAACTTGCTGAAGTTTCTTAAAAAGTCCTCATCATTATGTGTAGAGGTCTGAAATGTGACTCTTTTTTTTTTTAGACTACAAGGTCAAGGACCTCTCCTCAACACAACCTCCGAATAGGTGGACACAAGATAAATACAAACTCATTAAACTCTCAAGACAAGAGAGACCTCTGGGTTGAAAAGGAGCAAAAGGAGTCTGGAAACATGGCTTGCTTAGACTATGATTGGCAGCTACCTTGTGCCTAGCACTAGGTGAAGTTGAAGAATTTAAACCTTGCAAGTTGCTTGATAATAATTTCTATTGAACTAAACGTGCCCCGAAAGCTGCCTGGAGCACAATTCTCACACCCCCTACACAAAGAAAGGGGGGGGGAGAAAGAAATTAAATAAACACCTGTTGTATCTTGAAAGAGGACAGCTACAAATTAATGCACAGTCCAGAGAAGAAAAGGCATTCCAGTAAATGACTGTCCTTCCTCTCCTGTAAATGTTTACTAGTCAAAAATCATACTGAACTGCTGATCTGTCATTCAAAAGACAGCCCTAGCAACAAATGATAAGGGAAACCTACCAGTGTGCAAACACTAACAAAAAAAATTAATTTGGGAATTTACACATGATGAAGCCAGTGGAATGCAATTAAATCTTAGCAGAGATCACTGTATTGGCAAAGCGATAGCCGTGTTTCAGATCTCGGGTGCCAGCTGATGGTATCACTGCAGTTGCGTGATTTGTCTATAAGACTGTCTTATTGGCAGTCTCTGTTTCTTAGTGCAGGGTACTGGAACGGCACGGATGCCTAGCAGGCTTGGAACAGAAGCTGTATAGGCCGTCCATTAGTTGTATGCTGCAAACCTTAAATAAATCCATTTGAATAGCTGATTTTTGTAAAAATCAGTTGAGACACACTTTGATTAATTCTCTGACATAGAGACTGAATTTTTATATATCTGTGCATGTGCATACACTTTAGATATAGAGAGCTTACAATTTATTTATTGGCTAATTTAAATTAATTATCTTTTTCCTGCACTCCAGGGCTCCCAAACCAATGTGCAGTAGACAGATTAAAGTCATTACAATAGAAGGAAAAATATCATTTTAAGGCAGATTTAAAACATGCCCTAAAACTCAATTTTCTAAAACAATCCTACAGATCCAAAATCTTTTGGAGACATTCCATTTTGGCTGGCCATCTGACGTTGCAATGGGCACGAAGCCAGCCCTGACATCTCTTTGAGAGAGTGCCATAATCAAAGGGCTACTACAGAAAAAATTCCTGTCTCTTTAAACTCACCAAACAAACCCCTTCCAGGTTTAGGACGTGAAAACAAAGTCCATCTGAAGGATCTTAAAACCTGGGCGGGCGGGCAGGCACTGGAGTCTTTTAAGCGCCAGATGGTTGAGGACACCAGGACATCCTAAGGTGTCATCGAAGCCCACAGGATGGACTCCTCCTTTGAGATGAGGCAGGTGAGGCCTTTCCGCACACCCTTCCCACCATGGAGGCCTCTTTGGCAAATACACAGGAAATGGCCTTCTTTGCAACAGTACCCAGTCCTGGCAGGCCTGCCTCAGGATGTCTTTCCAGTTCTCCTTGGTAAAGTCTCTCTGCCCCCTCCTTAACACATTTCTATTTAGCCAAGCGTTTGATTTACCTCCTTAATTTGCACTGCTTTTTAAAAAATGTCGAAGAATTCATATTCTTCAACAGCATTTGGACATTCAGTTATGAACAAAGAAAGACATCCAGTTTGATGTGAATGCACTGGTTTGTCCAGCCCTGTTTTATCTATTCAGACTCGCTGTGGCTCTCCAGAGTCCTGGGGAAGGCTGCCTCCCACTTCTCCTAGCGGAAAGCCTTTCCCTGAGTAGGGATGTCACCCTGCGGGAGCCCTTTCATGTGCTAAAGCCGGCCTCCTCCATTTCCAGTATCCCTGGGCCTCTTGCACTCCTGGGGCTATGTAAGTGGAAAGCTGTAGGATTTAAACCAGCCTGTGTGTCCCCCTGGGTGGTTCAAAAAAGCCTCTCACCTTGGTTTTACGGGCCTTCCACCATCTCTGGATGACGTGAGCAGCTCGCTCCTTTTCGGGACGCCCAGGAGAGGAAGGCGGTGGAGACACGGAATCTGAACCTCTTGGGGGTCGCACGAGAGTTGGACTGGACAGTCGGCAAGGGCATGGGACTCCCTGCTGGCCCTTAAAGGAAGACTGGGGTTTGGGGGCGGAGAGGAATAGGAAAAGATGAGCAGCGGCAAGCGGGGGAAAGTGACCTGGAAGGGAGAATGAAATACCCATTTTGAGCCATGACCTCGCGTTAGCAGACAAGGCAGAGGGAGAGAACGAGACGACAAGAGCGAGCGTTGGGCGCAGCCTGCAAACACTGTGGAGCTTTGTGCCCTTAACGAATTGGTAACAGCCCTCCCAAAGCCAAGTCCGTGGGAATGACGAGTCTGTTGATTCCCCTAAGCTATGCGTTCCGACCCCATCCAGCCTTAATAGATCTCTCTTGTCCAGCCGACTATTATGAGACTACTGAAAGGACTATTGAAGGAACTCAAATTCTTTCTCACACAGACCATGCACGCAAAAATTCACAACTTGGCTGGAAGAAAACCTTAGAAGGGAAGCCGTCCAAGAAACTAGGAAAATCCGCAGCCCGACGTACAGGCGCAAAGCAGTCTACATGGGGCTCTTCAACACAGCCAAGGGTTAGTCAGTATTCCACGTCCTGCAGTAGCAAATACATCAAAATGTGGTGTGTGTTTTTTTCACCTGGTCTGGAGGTTCTATGGCATGAGTCCTTACAGATCTACAATCTACACCTTGGTTTTGCTCCAATTCTCTCCTCCTCTCTGTCAGCTTCTGGATTGTTTCCCTGCAGAAGCAAAAAAACAAAACACAGAAAAAATAACTTTTCACACAGAACATCCTGCTTCATGGAATCATGCAGCCTGCAGAGATGCACAGTGTTGGTTCTACAATACAATTAGATATTTAATGGAATTCATACAGTACCAACTGCTTAGCAAGGCTAGGCAAGAAGCCATATACAGCCAGAGAACCAACCCCCGAGATGTTTCGTAACATCATAGCAGGATTCAGACCTGGACACAACATTTGTAGTATAAGGAAATTTTTGCGACATCCTGCTGCATATCTGTTGGGTCATCAATGTGTGAAGGAAAGAAGCCTGCTCTCCTCATTCTACTTCCAAAATGAGCCATCTCCACCATTTAGCCCTAAGCCTTTAAGTCCATAGCAGAACATGTAAAATTAAAAAAAAATACAGTGCAGCAGTTCAATAGACAATTACAGTTTGTCAGGATTTCTGCTTTTCTGTGTGTGATCCCAGTATTTCCAGGCCAGAGTTGTGTTTGGGGTGAAGACAAAATCTCTTAGACAACGGTTGCCAAACCTCTTAGCGAGTCTGAAAAACAATCCTACAGATCCTAACATTCCACCGGCCTGGTGAGATCATGAAGCAGGAGAAGTCCTTATCTTGCAACAGATATGAGATGAGTTCAGATGTTTAACAAAGTCTGGTTTTTGTGTATATTTGCTGTGTGCAAAGAAGGATCTGTAAGGAGTGGATTTGGGGAGGGGCTGTTTCTGCTTTAAGGAGCAAAAGCAACTACAAAAAATAAAAATAAAATTAAGAAGGCTATTTTTGCCTAGAGAAGGTTTTCAGGAGATTTCTTTCCCCCTGTCCTTGATGACTGCAAGGAGAGAGCATGATGGCTACTATGTCAGACTAAACCCAGGGACTTAACTCTTTAAGAGCCAGCTGATCCTGAAGGGCAGCCCTCTGGCTTTTGAGCTTCTTCACTACTCTGAGGAGATGTTCACATTCTTCCGGGACATCTGACTCCTTAGCCACTGACGGATCTGGCTGTGCAGAAGTCGATGCAGCAAGCAATGGGGATGTGCTGGTTTTTGAAAGCTGCGGCCTCTCATTCTGCATCGCATCTATTTTCTGGAAATTGAAAGGGGAAAAAAAGACAGAGGGCAAAAAAGAGGGGAACAATTGAGAATCTTTTCACGCCCACTCCACCACTCCACAGGATTTCTGATCAGCAAGCAAGAAAAACCTTTTCTACCTGGAAAAAAAAATCACACATGGCCACTAGCCAGAAAGCCAAAGACGACTACTAGTTGGTTTGAGCAGCTTCTATGACTGTGAACTACTGCCGTTTAGAACCTAGGTTCCTCCTTAAAAAAACACACAACCAACCAAAAACCACACCAAAGCCACCAGAGGTTCATTTCCTAAAAAGGCCTTCTCTTCTTTTGTTTATAATCTGAATGAAAACCAGATCGTAGTTTAACTACAATATCCTGTAAAATAAACAAAGCAAACAAACAAAAGCAAAGCCTCAAATGGCAGAAAAGGCTGCACATGCATTGATATATATATATGGACCTAAGAGGGTTTTCCCAGTTCCCCGTCACTCACTTTCTCCAGTTTCAAAATCAGCTGGACCAGCCTTGGCCTGCTCCATTCAGCGTAATCTGAGGGAAGAGAACAACATTTCCAAACTGGAGGTTAGACTGGGAGAGAAGCAGATGAGCTTGAAAAGAAAGGCCTCAATTGATCTTGTGATCTGTGTGTAAAAAGTTGGAATGAGAGATTATGCAAAGTCATTTTGAGACCCATCTGAGTAGCGGCCTACTGGCAATTATTAATCTGTAAAGTAGCCTTCATGCACAGTGCTTTCACATCAACTTAAAATAGGTAATTATCGTCCTGAGTTATAAAGTTGGCCACTGAATTAGGATCATCGTTTTGCAACCCACTGCCTTTCTAACTCAGCAAACTCGCAACTCTCAGTATTCCAAAATAACTTACTTTTTGCTTTACTGGGGGCAGGGGAGCTACTCAGCATGTGGTCCAGATCTGCTTTCAGTTTCCAGTTCTCCTCGTGTAATGCTTTGACACTCCTGGATAACTGCAGCACAGCAGCGTTGAATGCCTTCTGCTGCGACTTCTCCGAAGAAGACCTGTACGGAGAAATGAGGGGTGCACAGCTACGACAAAGATGGAATACGTGGTGCAAAATCAAGGCTTGGAACACAGTATATGCACAAGCACAATTGCTAACAAGTCTTTATATGGTCAACTCTACGTGGAGAAGAATTGAGATCCAGTGTGGTGCAGCAAAGAACAGTACTGGACTTTGAACTCAGTCATCAGTTTTGTAGAAAATAATAAAAGGACAATACAACACATCATCTTGTTTATGCCCCAACCTCCGTATATTAGGATATAGGCGTGCTTACTAATACCAGAAGCTTCTCAAGACTGGATACAAGACAAGAGCTAACGCTACAAGCAGGCTGCATGGATTCAGTGAAGTGCAGAACAAAGTATCAACCAGGAACAGACGGTTCTCTTACTTAGAATTCCTACAAAACAAAGTCTGGGGCTTCTCTGCCTGATTCTAGAGAGGTTTCCCAGGAGGCAGACTGAAGGAGCACTTGATGCTTTCATTGAGAGGGAACCCATGGCTTATGCTACAATAGAGGAGTACTTGGGAGATGCCAGAGCCATTCACCTTGAACTCTCCTCCTCCAATTGAAAAGTCACAGAGAAGCAATTTTCTACTTATATGATCGATTTTTTAAAAAAATTCCAACGGATCCCTCTCTTATGCAGAATAGATTCTGTGCACATCAAGATCCAACCATCCACTTCGGAATCCAACCCGGCTGGAATGGAGACTTCCTTCCCCTCCCCAACCTCCTGCTGCCCTCTGTGGCTAAAACGGAAACAAACAAACAAACAAACAAAATCTGCTGCCCTCTGTGGCTAAAACGGAAAAAAACAAACAAACAAACAAAAAAAACACAACTCCAGTGAATTTTCCAGCCCTCCACATCAAGGGTTTTAGGGTGTATCAGAGGTTGCTGGAAGAAGGGAGGCCACCGATTCTGTCAGATACCCAGTCTTGCTTTCCCACCTCTTTGCCTTGTGGGTCATGCACATGAGCAGCACTGAAGAAACACAATGAGGTTAACCTTACTCTACTTTCCCCCTAAAGCTACCTTGAGCTCCACCATCCACCAGTCTTCCTCTGACTGCACAGACCAATCTCTCTCTCTCTCTCTTCTTCCTTCAGATCTTCCATCACTTTCTTCCTCCTCTGAATCTTTCACCTGACATCAAAAGTATCTGGGCAATTTTTAGAGTTAAGAATCTTCTTCTTAAGAATAGCAGGCCCCACTACAATTAATCCCCATTTGGACTCCCAAAATACTAGATGAACAAACACATACCTATTGGCTAAGTGTTGACTTAAAAAAAGAAGAAGGAGAAAAAGCTATGTATTTATCCCACTTTCAAACCATCTTGATCTCTCTCAATAACATCCAGTAATGAGACAGTCATCCACGTTCTAGTGGAGTGCATTAAGGAGCTCACAGCTTACAGTCTTCCATAAGACTTCTCTGCTTGCCTTATTCAGTCAAATTTGAAATACAGAAGCCATGGAAGGGGTTCCAACCACGGAAGGAGTTCTGCCTCAGCTCACAGCTTGGCAACATGTGTCCGTGTTGCGCTGGGACCACTTCGAGATACAGCACAAGCATTCAAGTTCAGACAAGGAACCAAGTATAGCGAGAAATTAGATTGATATGGTTTGTATAAAGCTGCTAAGCTGATTTAGGTGGCACCCATTGCAGCCCACTAGACTAGCCCAAAGATGTGCCAGAGATGTGATAAATGCTCCTACTTTAGACTGTGTGATGTAACTTTGCATGGCATCGTTCCGGCAATCTCAAACTGGGCTTTTGGTCACATACAAATCAGTGCGGAATTAAAGACATGCACAGAGACAGCCTTGGGCTATTATTACTGCATGTTCTTTCGGAGGAATTGCATGACACTTTATATCTCCATGTAAGAAGGTGCACCTCCCCCCCCATAGCACAGCTGGGGCATTCTTGTGTTTAGTAGCACAAATTAAAACTATGGCCTGAGTCTTTGCAATGGTCCTCAAATATTTGTCTCTGGAGATATTTGGGATGTCAGCTTCCAAAGTTCTTGGCCGCTGGCCATGTTGGCAGGAGCTTCTGGGAATATAGCATCCTAAACATCTGGAAGTCCAAAGGTTGAAAACCACGACTCTGGAGGTTTTTTAGAAACAGTGAAACGTGTTAATTATTGTCTTATTGTTTAACTCTCCCAGTGGAAATGGACTTTAAAAGACCCCACACAACAAAAGCCAGGAGTGCTGGTTTCTCTTGTTTCTCAGCCTTGGGGAGACTCAGCGTTTCCTGCATTTTGTCCTTTTGTAACCATGAGAAGCATGTGTTTATTTTTAACCCATTAAAAAGACAGACTCTCAGATGTCTAAGTCCACTAAATAAAATTAAATCTACCAAGCTAATAAGAATGTAAAATACCTAAAGAGCTTTGTTTTGTTGCACCTCCCTTTTTTCTGACTGGCAAAGCCCCTGAGTTCTTTGAAGTATCTAATGATACGGCAGCTAGTATTGACATCTAGAAGAATCCTCCTTTGGTGGTAAGACCAGTTTTTTTTTAAAAAAAAATTGCATTGCTTTGATTGCTTTCAAATGTTTTACAGTTTACTTCTGCATTTTCTTATTTTGAAGCAACACATGATTGATAATAATCTAGCAGAGGTGATGGAGTTTTATCAAGATGATTTAACTAGTCTGAGTTGTTTCCGTGGAAGCTCATTTTTACTTTTTTGGAAATGAGGTGCAATAAAATCAATAGGGCTTATAGGATCAGGGAAGTCACTAACTTCACTTCAACTTATATCATGATCTTAAAGTAAGCCCTATTGATTTCAGTGTACCTCTTTCTACGCAAGGAGGTGTTAAGGCAGCAGACTTGATTACTTGCATTTCAACTGTTTTCATTGCAACCAGGTTTCAGACTAGACACTATACCTTTTAAGAAACCACTGCCTGAAAAGATACAGCTTTCATACAGGTAAAATATACTCTCTACAGTCACACACGGACAGAAAGAAAAAACTGAAACTGATGAAATATTTTACCAATAAACGCTGTCAACCAAAGTGAAACCTTCAAATGGAAATAATGTAGGTTACGACAGGAAATTATTGTGAAGTTAACTGAGGCGAGGAAAAGAAACCCAAAACAACATTTTTGTGACGAGATTTCTTTTTAAAAGCTTCCAAAGTTCTCTTATTTCACAGCCATCAATGAAGTTTAGAAATGAGACAGAAAAACACAAATGCATAGAATCACAAAGAAATAAACATACTTTCGTTGCACAGCCTCTGATTTCGCCAGCAGGCTTTGGAGTCGCTGGATCTGAAATAGAGAAATAGCGTTAAGAGAACATTGAAGCAAGGACCACGTGCGCAAGGGTGCAGACTCATAAATTTTACAAAGTAATATCTGAGGGCCGAAAGGGAGTAAGGAAGAATGAGATAGTCAACATTCTGACACCAAAATGGTTGCACCAGGTGATCTCAGACATAATATCCTATGGCATGGTGGTGGTAACCTCACAGATCTGCCATGGTTCTCAGAATAATTCCCTGACATTCTGTGTGACTATAGGGGATCCAGACTAAGTACAGAGGTACAGACGTCTTAATGCTATGGTGCTGCCTTGCGGGCACCCATAAATTTATCAGCCCTAACTCATTAAGGGGAAGGCGCTAGAAAGAAATGCTTTCTCTGTAGTGTTCCATTGCAAAAAATTTAAAACAACAGAATAATTTGAGGCTCCGTAAGGACGAACAAGTTTATTTGATATAAGCTTTTGTAGACCACAATCTCCTCCTTCCGTTGCAACTAACGAAAGGGACTGCAATCTATGATGCTAAAAACAAAGTCTGCTTCTTTAGAGTGCCTTTGGACTCATTGTTTTTGGTTCAACAGACCAATTATGTCTGCTCCGTTGGAAACTTCTGCAAAAATGAACAAGGTATCTCACTACCAAATGTGGGCAGAGCAACCCATCATTCATTGGGAAGAGCCCCACTCCCAACTAGAGTACAGTGCTGCCTCTCTTAATGACAGTAATCCATTCCAGGAAAATTGCCGTTAAGCAAAAATATCGTAAAGCAAAAATAAAAACCCCATTGAAACGCATTGAAACCCGTTCAATGCATTCCAGTGGGGTAAAAACTCATCATCCAGCGAACATCCTCCATACGGCGGCTATTTTCAATGCCTGTATAGCGAGGAATCCGTCCCTAAACACAGCGGGGAGCCATTTTAATCACCCGGCAGCCATTTTGAAACCGCTGATCAGCTGTTTAAAAAACATCATTTTGCGAAGAATCGGTTCCCGAAGCAGGGAACCGATCATTGCAAAGCGAAATTCCCCCATTTAGACCATCGTTTTGCGACAGGAACTGTGATCACAAAAAGATTGTCGTAAAGCGGATTCGTCGTAATGCGGGGCAATAGTAAAGCGAGGCACCACTGTAGATGTTCCAGTATGGTGGTAGAATCAAAATTAAACCACTCCAGGTCTTTATTTGTTCTTCGGTGTTCAAGAATCAAATGCTTAATAAAGGTGTACCTCTTCATAGTAGGTCTGCAGAGTAACTCTCATTTCTTCCACACTAGTGTTCTTCTCATCTGCCTGGAGTTTGCTATTTAACAATGCAAAACAAATGGAGAGAAAGGAAAGAGAATGAGCAGAAGATGCAGAAATTAACCACAAACATTTCTTAACAATGAAGGCAACTTATACTCGTCTTCCCCTCCACATTCCTAAGCAAAAATATTGCCAACAGTACAAGAGTTGCTATTATGAGTTGTTCCAAACACATCTCTAGCAAACATGTGGTGGCGAAGCATGGCTTCGCTGATGGGCCTATGATCTCTCCATGTTACTCTCACGGTACTGAACAATACTAACATAGATGGATATTCTTGCTCTTCTCACAACCCTACTTAAAGCAGGAGGATCATCAATGGGAAGGGAGAGTCCTCTCACTTATGAAATGGGCTGCCCTGCATGGAGGCCCTCCAGAAAACCGCTATCTTCTCAATCAATCAATCAATCAATTTGGTAACCTTTATTGGCCAACACAATTCAATCCTCAATGCATTCAGACACTGTAAGGACCACCTCTGGATTCATTCTTTCAAATTCCATCAGAGCCTTGCTACCTCAGGACAGGGAGTAGGTGCAGGGTGTGTTGTTGTTAGCGGGGTGCCCACACTGTGAAATTATTTGCCCTGAATATCTGGCTGGTTCTCTTCCTCTCTTTGTAACCACCATTTAGTCCTCCACCAAGGTTCATTCCTAGATTTGTGGTTTTGTTTTCAAATATTTTCTACTGGATGTTGATATCCCTTGACCTTGTGTAAGGATGAAAACGAAGTGTAAAAATATCGTAACAAACAGCTACAGTTCAGCATACTTAATTGTGTGGTCTTTCTGCTTGCACTGCTGCTCCAGTCGGAGAACCTTCTGCTTCAGCCCGCTGATCACCTATCAAGGGAAAAGAACACAGGGCCTCTTCTGAAACAGGAGCCATCTATAATAGCATATGTCTGAAAAGATAATTCACCATTTATCCCCTTAACTGGCTAGCCTGTAGCATTCAGTCAAAACCTTCATGTTGTGCATAGGTCTGTGTAGTTTGGCTGTATGGTCAGTCTACAAATCCAGGATGTTCTACCATGCAGGTGGCCAGAGAAACCAGTTTCCTTTCAAGGAACAGTGGCTGCTCTCAGCCTCTAACACTGTTGTCTTTCCACTGCCAGGCAGAGACCCTTTGGTTTGAGAAGGCTTTCATCAGCTGACTGGCTGTTGTGGAAGGGATCTCTAATGGACGGAATCCATTTCTGTACTGATGTGCTTTTAAATGCCTTTGCGCTCTGTTACATTTGAGTACTGTGATTGTCTATGTCTTAGTAATACAGTTGTTGCTTCCTATACCTTTTCAAATTAGTCTTGTGGAGAACTGCCTGGAGTCCCAGTTTTGAGAAGAAGATGAAACACAGCTCAGATAAATGAATCCAACAAATAATCAGACAGACAGACTCAGAGAGAGAAATTAAAATGTGCTGTTACCAAGCTGGTGTCATTTTTCTGCTCTGTCCATACCAAGCCAAACTCAGAACCCTGTAAAAAGGAGAAGTGAAACTTTCCCATGATTTATTATTTCTACAGTGCTTCATGAAATCAAGTGCTTTGCTTGTGATAAGAAGAAAGCCTGACTTGGTCAACAGAAAATCAGCACACAAGAACTTTTATTCAGAATATGAACTACACCTTCTCAAAGTTCCTGATGTCCATTATTTTGACAAGACACCCATAAGGTGCAGATCGTTATTTCTCTATCGCCGATGGAGATGTGGGGGTTGGACGATTTGGGGACTTGATGGCAGGGCAACGAAAGGAAGCAGGAAACATTTCAGTCATGCAACCACCAAGCTTCTAGCTCCCAGTGGCACAGTTTTCAGGTTTCGGTTCCTCGGATTCCCCTACCCTTCAATATCACAGGCATATATTTTCTAATCATAAACCGTCCCCATGCTCTGTCCACTTGGCTGTCTGTAGCTAAGTAGGTCTGAGCCTAAATAGGATAGTGTTCAGGAACTATCACATCCCCTACTAAGAAAATATTAACAGGAAAAAGGCAGGAAGCAGATTTTTAAAAAGACAAAACTATGCCTTTGTTGTACATCTTGCTTTTAAAACTAATTGTGTGCTAATTAAGAAAAGAGGGTTTACAACAGTAAAATACATACTTCTGTTTTCTGAAATACAGTGGTGCCTCGCATTACGATGTTAATTTGTTCCAGCGAAATCGCTGTAGAACGAAAACGTCATAAAGCGAAATTTAAAAGCCCATAGAAACGCATTAACACCCGTTTAATGAGTTCTGATGGGCTGGAAACTCACCGTCCAGCAAAGATCCTCCATAGGGCGGCCATTTTCGCTGTCTGTGCAGTGAGGAATCCATCCCAGAAAACGGGGGGGGGGCATTTTGTTTACCCGGTGGCCATTTTGAAACTGCCGATCAGTTGTTCTAAAATCATCGTTTTGCGAAGAATTGGTTCCTGAAGTAGGGAACCGATCATCGCAAAGCGAAATTCCCCCATAGGAAACATCGTAAAGCGATCACAAAAAGTTCATTGTAGTGCGGTTTCATCGTTAAACGGAGCGATCGTAAAGCAATGCACCACTGTATAGTAATTAGCTAAATAAGCTCTGGAGTACAGCATGAGAGCTGTCTCTGATCTGGATCAGGAAGACTTAACCACATTCTGTTTAGAAGCCACTATGGAACTGGCTTCCTTCTCCCACTCGGGAAACTTCAGAGCTATGCAAGCAGGCCCACACCTCATGACCAGCGGTGCAAGCGTGGGTTACCCTGGAGGAATCCAGCAACTGTTCTATCTGCTTGTCCTTTCGACTGTTTTCCTCCTCCAGTCGACGGATCTTCGTTTTCATCCGATCTGCTTCACATTTTTGAGCCTGTATGGTCTAAATGTCACATGGGGGGGGGGGAGAGGCAGTTGCCATTGAAAACAAATTAAATGATAGAACTATTAATATTATCACATTAATAAAATCAAGAAAGATGGAAACACCTTAAAGATCTAGTGAAGAAATAAATCTTCACATAAGCACTCAGAGTAGGGATGGTTCCCAGTTCTAGGGGATCCCGATGAATCCCAACTCAAGCAAGAAGGAACGCTCTTTGTTTGGCAAAGAAATAAGTGTCTTTGTCTGTCTCGGTAAGTTGGCAAAATTAGAGGGGGGAAAGACAAAAGAGTGAGAAGGAGAGAGGGAGTGAAAAGCCACATATTGTGGCACTTTAAAGACTAAAAGTTGCATTTCCATGTGAAATTTTGTAGATCAAAATCTACTTCTTTAGATGCTACATTAACCAACACAGTAGCAGAATTCTTGAGAATGATGTATGATACCAAATAGCAAAGAGGAAGGGCGGAGAGGAGAGAACGGGGAGCTGTCTATCACAGAGACAGCTCAAAGCCACACCAACTACAGAAGCTTACATTTCTCTCCCTTCGCCCATTTGTGGTTCCTGAGCAAAGCAGACACTCCCCAAATAGTTTCTAACATTTCTCTGCAACTGTCAATGCCAAATTCCATTTTTCAGCCTTTAAAGACAAGTGAGATTTCCCAGAAGCCACATGCTACATAGTATACAGTTACATCCAGACATACCTTCTTTAGCTCAATGATCTCATCATACATATCCTCCTTTTCCTTGTAGTTTGGAGTTCCAGGGATGTAGCCTAGGGAAAGGAAAGGAAGTTGAAACATTCAAGAACAACAGAACCTTTATTTATACAAAATTTCTATGGGCAACAATTAAGAAAGTTGGTATCTCCATTTTACAGAACTCACCACTTCTGGAGGAGCGAGCGTGTTTGGGTTTCTTCATGCCCAACGCTTCCTTCAGATATTCTGGAGTGTCGCCGGGGAGAGTCACAGAGAAGGTAGGACTCAGGTCAAAGTTCGGCTTTGCTGGCCCCAAGTGCCTTGTGTCTAAGGGAAGAGGAAAGAGCCCCTACATCAATTTGGACAGAAGCACAGTTCCACCAGCAAAAGGGAGCACGGTCTCTGTTCCCCTGGCCTTCCGTTCTGAAGCAGGACATCTCCTCCTCCACTCACAGAGGATACGGTTATCAGAAGCTCCTCTACACCTTTTTCTTTGGAACGAGACTCAGTGATAAGGCACTCATGTCTTGCCTGTGGGCTTCCCAGAGACACCTGGGTGGCCACCAGCTTGCTGGATCAGACAGGACTTTGGTATCATTCGCTTGAGCTCCTCTGGCCTGTTTAGCCTCATAAATAATGGAATCCGCACACACTAGAAGAATGGAGCTGGAGGACTGAACATTAATAATAATACTTGCTCTGCTTGTTTAACTATATGCAGCATAGCCAGCAATGCACCAAACTGTCATATGAACACCTTTCTCAGAAACGTCTTTGTATGACCAGAATCCTGTTCAGAAAATCTGTGAGTGAGAGGGAAATCACACAGCATCTCTCCCTTCCTCTGGCAGGCCCTCTGTTGTGTGATCAATCTTGCTACTGGTGCGAGAGCAACCACATGAAGGAGGACCTCTCAGAGGACAGATAATGCTTGTCTAATTACCCTTCAGCTCCACAACCCCTCAGCACCATTTTGGATGCCTGTCAAACATATTCACAGTCATTACAAATGCTATCATCCACCACGCATTGACAATGCAGGGCCAGATTCTTTACTCAACTTCCCACACATGTTAACTCTTCAACGTAGCACCTCATTTCTGCATGTCAGTCACAGCTGTCCAGACTGTGGCCCTCCATCTGTTGTTGAATTCCAACTTATGTCGGCCCCAGACTTCCATCAGCCAGGCTGATGGTGAGTTGTGATGGGGTAGCAATTCCCCCAACAGCAGAAAGGCTGAACATTCTCCACCCTTTGCATAAATGAAGGAAAGAACAACAGGAAAGGGGCTGTTACTCAAATGACTTCCTTTCTGGTAACCGTCACAACATGCACAGAAAAAGCCCTGCTCATAATTCCACACTACAAAGATAATGCCAAAACTTTATAGAAGGGGAAACTGGTTTTCTATGGGGTACCTTGCTTGGGAGAGCCACACCACAGCTGCCTTGATGTCTTGACCAAGGGGATTTCAAAATGTCTCCGCTCTGTGCCCTTAAAGGGTCTCGACAATCCAGGCTTTTTAGAATGGACACTTGTACCAGAGGTGTACGGTGACTCTGTGGTGAGAGAAAGACATTTGTTACTCCAGTTTTTTTTAAAAAAAGCAACAAACACCCCTCTAGCATCCCATTTTGGCAAAGTTGTGAGGCTCTTCGTCTTAGAAGTTGTTACGTGCCTCGGAGAAGGGAGAAAATTGCTAAGAGTCAACCAACAGGGAAGGCAGTAGAGGCTGAAGTCCTTGACCAAGGAGTTAGCCTTAAACTGGGGAGATGGAACTGTACCCATACTGCAAAAGATGCCCATCTCAACGTATTCTGAGAAAACGTTGGAGGAAGAATTCCATTCACATCCAAACCTAGAGATGTAAATTTTCCAAAAAAATAAATAAATCAATTTTTCCTGAAAAAAAAAACAGGGAAAAAATAGAAATTTACATCTCTATTCATACCCAATAACTTCAGACTCTCCTGTCCTTTGTGTAGCAACCCATCTCAAATGAAGGAATGCCATCGTTGTTTCAGAGCAAGATTTGGTCATACTTACTCAATGATTTTGGAGACTTGCGAACAGTTTTCTTTCTCAGTGTCTAAAATTGTAACAAAAAAGTATTGTAATATTTGTATACAAAATTTGCATTCAAGCGTCCTGAAGCTTCATAAACAATAGGCACTTCTCTGAGTGCAAACCAGCAGACTCGTTGTCATTATACTGTAATTATTAGTTTGCCTAATCTAAGTTAATCACGTTCTAAGACTGCCAAATTGGTACACCTAAAAACTGGAACTTCCAGTGAAAACAAGCCAAAACTCACAAATTTCATTCAATGTATATCGATCTATAAAACTATTCTACAAGGAGGGCTGTTGGATTTGTTATTATTAAAACAATGTGCGCTATAGGTACTGCATGAGATAAAGTGGGTGGCCCCAGAATTCTGCAGCACTCGGGAAGTCAGAAAAACGCACACGTTAAATGTTATTTCCTGTTAACGCCATGTGCCTCAAACAGAACTGTTGAAATTAATGATGTCATAGCACAGAGGGGGGTGGTGGACTTGAGTAAGCAAAGGAAATCAGACTGTATACATGTACACTTACAGTTTCTGTGTCGGATTCGTAACTTAACGCGGAAAGACTGTCCTCTACCTGTGAAATAAATACACAGACTATAACATTGTGGGTAAAAACAGGAGATCGTGGGACTCAGACACATATCATCACAGTTACTCCAGAAAAACATTAAAAACCTAGACTAATCGTCTTTTTGTGAGGGTATCCAGATCAAGGTGCTAGCACAGGGCAACTCAGCTAGAAAACATCCAGGGGCTAGCAGCTGGAAGATTTGTGCAACATGCACAGGTTAGCCGAAGACACCACTTCTTTACAATGACCAGAGACTAGAAAGTAGCCAAAAGGCAAACCCAATCTGAACTGGCATAACTGATGAGAAGAAGGATTGAAATGTATATTTCATGATGTGTTACTCACTGGGTGAGAATTATTTTATTCTTCTGACTATGGGAAGAAAGGCTATTCCATAATTTTAATTTCCTTTAAAAACAGTGGCATGTGGATTTTTCATCCACGCACAGTTAAGTCACTACTAATGGAAGGGTCTGCGGTTAGTTTCCACTGCTTTGTATGCCCCACCCCTGTTCCTTAGGTTATACTTAAATCTCACTTTCCATGAAAAGGCAGAGAGAGAAGGAGGACAGTATTTAAGACCAGCATAGCAAGTAAAGAAGGTAACTTGGCCTTTTCACACCTCACTGCAGGCGAGCGTGTGTCACGTACCCCTCGTCCCGGAGTTTTTAATTTCCTGATGTCCCTATTCTCCACAGCATATTGGCAGATTCTTTTTGTTATCCTTCACGCATCTGATCTTGATCTATATCTCCCTATCCAATTTGCCCTGCTGCTTTAGCGATCAGTTCGTGAAACAGGCAAAGTATTTTGAAGGCAAATGGATAAACATCAGCAAAAGTGTGCTGTGTGTACATATGAATTTCGAAGAGCTAGACCCTTCCAGATATACTGCCTCCCATTCCTGGGGAAGAATTAAATGCAAGAGATACAGATCTGAACAGGCAATGACGGAACCATTTCCAGCCCACAATCTCAAATGCGCCGAGGACATTAATCATTGCTATCTGCACGTCACAGAACTCTTAGAACTGTGGCTGCAAACTGATTCAGGCAGTACATGCATCAACTAAAACTTTAGCTGATTAATTGGTACCTGTCAATTTTTACAGAGGTGATCAAATTGTGATCAACAGAGCTATACTGCGTGTTAAAAGAGCCCCTGCTTTTTTGCCATGGTGAAGATAAAGACCAACTTGGTGGCATCGCTTCTCTTCCAAACTTGGACACACTGAAAAATAAACTCTCGGTCTGCCATTTCCATCCCTTCTTGCCTGGATGTAAGCCACACTGAACATACTGCGGCTTAATTGTGATTAAATAAGCATAGGAGTGAGTTGTAAATGTTTTTCCCCTCTCTGATAAATTTATTTATTTTATTTATTTATTTGATTTATATCCCGCCCATCTGATACATCTATACCACTCTGAGCGGCTAACAACAGTTTGTAGCACTTTTCAGGACATGCGACACAGGCAATTTTATAGGGAAAAGGTAGCGCTGGGATATAGTACTTTTAAAATCCAATGTAACTTAAGACCACCACCCCTTATTATAAAATGTACAAGTGCTGCACCATTTTGGATCACAATGAAATGATAGTGGAAGGCTTCAGATCTGAAACGTTAAGAGCACAGAAAGAATCTGGTTCATATATGTGGTCTTATAAATGAAGAAGCACATTTATGTGTTTTCAGTCTACCAGCCATAAATGCCACTGGGTTAAAATGGAAGGACACACTTTTTTGCTCACTATCACTCATCAACCTCTCTACAGTACCAGCCTGTTCCCCTCCTCCAGCACAGCTCAAAAGCCCTGCAACCCAATCCTAATACACTTGAAAAGGCAACTCAACCCACTGCAACTCGAGGAAGGAGACAGAAGATCACTAGGGTTTTGTGGGATCATCAGGTGGATAGTCGGGCTTCCTACACCGCCCTTTTCCTCCCACTGGGGGGGAGGCCCAAGGGGCCCTTGCGGGGGAGGGAAGGGTTGCTGAGTCTGGCGGAGGGTTTTCGGGGAAGGGGGGGCTCCGAAGGCCCCCCTCCCCGGGAGACCCTCCTTGGGACCCCCCCTCCTCCAAAGGGACCCGACCCTCG